TTCTATTTTTGGAATCCCGAAGATCTCTGATTGGTTTCATTTCCAAAATTGAAGTTTAGCCAGTGAAGCACAGAGACAAAACCCCTTCAAACTGGTAAGAAAAAGGAGAGATTGTCTGCTTGTAAGAAAAACCCTTTTGAAGTATTCGTTTTGCGTTTCGGGTAAATGGATTGAACCAGATACTGTCCTCATGTTAGATTCTTGTTGTGGTTTCTGGATTGTTTCTTTCTGCTTTACTAACTTTGATTCCACGTTTGTTTTATTGACATTTTTCAGCATTGCTCGATTTTCGAAATCCGGTTTGAGATTTATGACTTGGTGATCAAAGAGTGTAAAGCAATGTCCTCTAGAATCAGTGTGAATGATAGAGAGGATTCAACGGCAGATTCATACAATGGACAGCTTTTGAGGGACATTAAGGAGGTAAGTAGAGCTCTTTACTTGAACAATGAACCTCATCAGAAAGCGGCGGTTTCATTGCCTCCTGTCCGATCTAAATCTGTTGCCAGAACTCATGCTTTGGATATTACATCGCTAAGTTCCGATCAGGGAACCATGGATGTTGGGTTATTGCCAAATAAGAAGAAGAAGAAATCTTTGGTACCATGGGATTGGAAGAAACCTTTGAAAGCTATAGCTCATTTTGGGCAGCGTCGGTTTGATGTTTGTTTTCTTCTACATGTTCATTCCATTGAAGGTCTGCCTTCAAACCTGAATGGTACTAGATTAGTTGTGCAGTGGAAAAGGAAGGATGAAGTTATGTCCACTCAACCTTCCAAGGTTTTGCAAGGAATTGCCGATTTTGAAGAGACCTTGATGCACAGATGTTCAGTATACGGTACCAAACACGGACCCCATCGTGCTGCAAGATATGAAGTGAAGCTTTTCTTGATCTATGCATCTCCTGTTGATGCTCCCTGGCTTATTCTAGGAAAGCATTGGATTGATCTCACCAGGATCTTACCGTTGTCTCTAGAGGAACTGGAAGGTAAAAGAAGCACAAGAAAGTGGAACACGAGCTTCAAGCTATCAGGCCTGGCAGATTCTGCAGTGTTGAATCTTAGTTTTGATTACTCCGTTCTCACCAATTCAGTCAGTGATTCAACTAGTAGAAATGTGATGCTGAAGCGGGTTGGTAGTGTTCCAAGTATGGACCATAGATCTCCACTGCTTGATGATGGAAAGGACTGCCATCAAGTCTCACCGAATCTGAGTCTGGATCTTTCCCAGTCAATAGATGTTCTCTATGAAAAACTTACTGAACAAAACCCACATAGCTCAACAGGAATTGATATCCGGGATGAACATCTGGGAAAAACTAAGGTAGACCTAGGTTTGGAGACTGATAAGCAACCAGATGACTCTAACGACACTGATCTTGCTGTCACTCGAAAAGGAGTAGAGATGTTTCAGCAAGAAAGATCCAGGATGGAAGACAGCACTGATCCAAATACAGATTCCTTGGGAATTGAAATTATTGATGTCAATGAGTTACTTAAAGATGAAGATGAAGCCTTTTTCGAGGAAACCGATCTAATTGATCAGTTATCAGTACCTGAACAAAGAAGTGGAGCAAGTAATTCTTTGCCAAAAGATTCAGATTTTGGAGGATCCAAGTCAGCTTCCAGTAGGCAGGTAATTTCTGAGTCAATCGAGGTTAAATCTTCATCGACCATGGATGATTCTACTGAGAAAGAAAATTTCTTGGAAGTTAAATCTAGTTACAAAGGTGCAAAAATATCAACAAAGTCACTAAGCTTAGATGACATTACTGAATCTGTAGCTAATGATTTTCTAAACATGCTTGAACTTGAGGAACGTTCTTATGTTTATACCTCAGATAGCGAACCTACATCTCCTCGTGAATACCTGCTTCGAGAGTTTGAGAAAGAAGCCTTTGCTTCTGGAAACTTTCTCTTAGGTTTAGATGGAGAAGCAGAATATGTGTCTGATATTAATGAGGAATCAAATGATTTCTCATTTTCAAGTTCTTTGGGTGTTGGGGAAAACAAGCGTGAGGGAAAATCTCAGCTGTTAATAGACAGAAGGAAGTCTAAGGTACTTGAAGACTTGGAGACTGAAACTTTAATGCGAGAGTGGGATTTAAACGACAACGGTTTCAAGAACTCTCTTTGTGATCACTCTGATGGATTTGGAAGTCCAATAGAGCTTCCGGTTGATGAGAGATTAGAGTTGCTGCCACTTGGAGATAATAATGGTCCTCTTGTTTGGACAAAAGGGGGAGGGTGTATCCGGTTCATGAATCCATTACTGTTCAGAAAGTCTAAGGATGCATCACACCTGATCATGCAAGTTTCAAACCCGGTGGTGCTAGTATCAGAATTAGGTTCTGATATCCTTGAAATACTGCAAAGTTTGTCAGCTTCTGGATTTGAAGGACTTTGCTCTGAAGTTAATGCATTAATGCCTTTGGAAGATATTATGGGAAAGACAATACATGAAGTTATCAAGGACGCAAGAATTGAGAGGTTCAGTGCTTTCCACTATGTTCATACATTAAGCATTATATTTCTACTTTACAGCCTCTTCTAAAAGATATCGTTGTCATGTTTTCTTTTTTGTTTGATTTGACTTGCAGAAGTGTACATGATTGTTCTGACAAGAGTAACAGTGTCGTGGTTCAGAAACCATCAGAACAGCTGGATTCGTTTCTTCCAAAAGAAGAACTCGGGGGCTTTGGCTCCAATATGTGTTCAGGTTATGTACCTCTTGAAGCTCTCGCTTCCTTAGCTATTGATGAGATAGAACTTCTCTCGGTAGAAGGACTAAAGATTCAATGCAGCATGTCAGACCAAGATCCACCAGCAGTCATTGCACCAAAACCCATGGATCAGTCTAAGGCTTTAGAGTTAATTAGTATTTCTTTAACGTTGGATGAGTGGTTAATGCTTGACCGTGGAACGTTTCGCGGAGATGAAACCAACATGCAAATAAGAATAATAAACTCAGCTAACCATGCCTATCAATACCAAGCTTCTAGTGGAAAGGGCCATACCTTCGGGAACAAGTTGACACTTGCTCTTCGAGTGTTGCTTAGAGATCCATTACGAAGTAATGAACCTGTTGGTGCATCTATGCTTGCTCTGATTCAAGTTGAGAGGTCTTTCGTTTCCTCAAATCCACCTGTGTGTAGTTTGGCTCAAGAAGGAAGAACCAAGGAACCTTTTGAATATGATACACATTTGTGGAGAATCACTGGCATCGGTCTTGCGGGTTTGAAAAATGAGCCTGGCGTAGACCATCTTTGGGGTACAAATTCACAGCAACAGGCTGGATCCCGCTGGTTACTTGCCAGTGGTATTGCTAAAACCATCAAGTGTCAAGCTTCGAAGTCAAAGGCGATCATTGCATCGAACCCACAAGCAACCAGAAAGAGATTAGATACATTGTGGAGTATAACAACCGGCAGGCACAATCAAGCTGGTGATTTGAGTAGCTCTGCTGCCTCTGTTCCATTTACAAGAAATTCAGACGTGATATTTACAAACAAAACAACAAAAAGATTGTGATAGTAGCAATTTTGATGTGAAAGCAGTCTCGATCAGGATGGAAAATGTTTCTCCATCCTCCCTTTTGCTAATTGAAAGAAGTAGATTTGGATTTCACCAGTTTTACGAATGTGTATGAGAAATGTTTTGTTCGGTAAATTTACTCAATTTGCTAAATCAAGGTTCTCGTTTTTCATCTATGCTTTCGCCTTTTAAATTTTTTGATGGTTTTCTGTCTTGAGTTGTAAATACTGCTTTTAGGAGTCACTGTGATGAGTAGTCTCAACGTCAGCTCCAAGTGCCTTCATTGATGAAACTTGATCTCCATCTCACTCCAGGATGGTCAAGGCTAATTCAAGGTAATGTTAACAGTAACTGCCCGCTCTGTAATTCTTTATAATGGCTCGTTTTGGGTATTAATTCAACTGTGATGAGTGCATGACTTCTTCATTATCATCTCTTGATGCTCGATGCAGATGCATGGCTGGTAAGATGTCATTGTGTTCATTGGTGGTTTGGGAGTTGGTCTGGTAAATTTCTGCTTACATTTGCATTGATATTCTAAGAACAAACTTATGGCATGTTACGAGGTTCTCAGGACTATATATTTCCGCTGATTCTCGCTTGTAACAAAATGAAACGCTATTAGAAGTAGTACAGATTCAAAATGTCATAATCTCTCAAAATTTGTGAACATGTCAACCAGATTACATTGCATATAAGGAACTAGAAGAACCATCTTGCACAGATTTGAAATGTCTAAAAAATAGAAAATCAGTCTCAAGAACAGATTCATAAGGCGACTGCCCTGAATTTGTGAACTGTACAATACCCTGTGAATAGCATGGTTTCAGTATCTTTTCTCAGACTACGTAGTCTTTGAGCAACCATAAATTTAGGAAGAACAGACAGGTTGATAAATTTAAGAACCTTAGCTCATGCTTGAGTGATTATGGGAGCCCTCGTAAGTTGTTATCACAAAGCTCGGATCATCTCCGTCTCTTTCGATCCTTTTCTTCACAGGACAGCCATCAAGTGAACATTTGTAGTAGTTTCTGCAATTTACATGAAAATCATTGCAATTAACCAGTAGTACTTTTGCTTTATTTGATTTTCAGGTCATAAGGGAGGATTGCAATGTCTGAAAAACAGAGTTCAACTCTAACAAGGCATGTCATTTTCCCAGCTTTTGTTTTCTCACATTTGGTTTGCTTCTTTAAAGATTAGAATAATCATTGCCTCATTAGTAATGACTAATCTGTTTGTGTTTTTGTCACAAAAATATGAAAGGGCTGAAACTGAAAGATGTAATTAGGAATTAAGAAAATGTTGTACTCTACCTGGGATTTGGGCTGTTTTTCACCATCTTCTTCCCATACTTTCTCCATTTGAACCCGTCGTCAAGGACTTCTATCTCAGACCGTGTCTTGAATGCAACTCTCTTTTTAACTTTCTTCTTTTCTTTCTTAATTTGGTTTACTTGCATAAGGAATACAAAAAGAAAACCAGATTCAGCATAGAATCACCTATAAACTCCAGATGTTCATTCATGTTGATTCACCTAAAAGTCTCAGGTTCAAGTCCTAATGTCTAAGATCTGCATAAGCTATATAATTAGGGGCTTATGTCTATACTTTTCAAAGACTGTCTTTGAATCCAGTCCTCTTATAGTCTGGTACTTAAACACATAAGGTTGATGGAAGCCTCAAGGGCACATGTCTAAAGGAGTGTATATAACAGATCTTTAGATCAACATCTAAGTGAACACTCCGGGACAAGATGATCCGATCTTATATGGTTTCCACAAAAAGGAAAGAGAAACTTACCGGCTGAAGCAGGGAATGTAGCGGCAATAAAAGTGTTGGTACATGGAGGTTCAGGATGAATCAAACTGCTAGAGGAACCTGAGAAGAAGACAGCAGCAGCATCACTGGTCTGATAACCATAAGAATGATTCATCCCCGAAACCGCAGAGACAAGATCATCGTCCATCCATTCATCTGACAAGCATATCTCCGACAGCTCGAACCCTGAGTGAGTATCATCGCTGAAACTCCTCGCCAAGTTTGTCTCTGCATCATCATTCATACTCAAAATACTATTTATGCAAATAGTTAAGAATGTGTGAGTGCCTAAATATTTCGTTACAATCTTTCCTTTTTCTGGGTGTTTGAAAGACTTAGCCTTCGAAAGGAAGCTTCAAAGGTAAGTGTTATATTTATAGAATTTGTAAATAATGTGCATTTGTGGGTACCCTTTCTTGAGGAAACTTACGTAGGAAGATGGATGCTTCAAAACAGCCTTGGTCTTTCTCTTTAACAAAGAGACTTGTGTCTTGGTCCACGACTACTCATTTTTTTTTCCAAGTCTTTTCATAAGTCTCCTCCTCGTGCAAGGATATGTGGTCTAGTAATTTGAGTTAGTTTCATGAGCTATATTTAAATTCGCATTATGAATGAATAAAAAAATGGTATAAAATGTTTCCAAGCAATGAAGACATGGTTGACTGAAATTACATTACTTTCTCTATGGATTAGACTTGGTGAGTTTAAATTTTCAACGTTTGGTTGCCTTATCTTTTGATAGGTACACTACACGCTTTGAATTTTCTAGTCAAAGCAGGACTTTCCATGTAGGTTATTCGTTCTCCCTATTAACTTATGCACTAAGCCGAGATTGGGAATATCGTTAACGACGGTTTCAAATTAGAGAAGCTCAATGTACTGAGCATTGTGGTATATCTTCATATGACGCGAGCAAATATCGATTGTTATGCGAGCAAATATCTTCCGCTTTCTTGATCGTAACCTGAAGAAATGCAAACTTCTGCTTGATTTACTAAGGGGATTTGGGGGTTTTGACATGACATTGGGGACTATTATATGTTCTCATTGAAGGTCTAAATGGTAACAGCGGAATCTGGTTGAATTTTGTTGAATTGCAGAATCTTGCTGAATTTTTAGTGATTTTTTTGCGGAATCTGGCAGATTATCTTAATATGTAAATGGTAATAACTGAATCTGGTTGATTTTTTTTAAACCTATAAAAAAATAGTTAAATAATTTTTCTTAGTTAAATATACTAACATAATTTAATGAGAAAAC